ATCCGACTGTATTCCCACCCCACCCCACTCCTGCTCCTTCTTCCAGTCCAGGAGGGTGTGCAAGACTGACGGGGAAGCCCTTTGCCACCCCCCACCAGCCCAGCTTACAGTGAGACTCACAGGCTGACTCACACGGCTACACACCGTTTCTGCCACCTACAACAATCCATGCCTCCATCTCACACTGACACCCAGAAATCTGGGTCCAGCACCGTCCAGGGACACAGTCTCTGGGGCAGTGACCACGACACTCACACTCCATTCACAGCCATTCGTGGGCTGTCCCAGAGCCCGGCTCTGCCCAATGACTGTACTCCATGACCCTGTCTTTGTATAAGCCTCCAAGACCCCTGCTCACATGACCCTGCAGGACAGCGTATCCCTGCCCACTTCCCCCCTCACCACCTCCTACCCTGTAGCTGGAGCATTTGCTGGGGGCGCTGCTGAAATTTCTCCCTGCTGTCCGGGATCCAGCGCATCTTCAATGCTTGTTGCTAGGCAACAGCCTCTGGCTCACCACTGCAACTTCCGGCGTTGGCCTCTCCTCCCCGTAGAATTTGGAGTCCCCAGCTTCCAATCCCCCTCATCAGTGTCACTATCTACCAGAGATGTGTCTATCACCCCTTAGATCCTAACTGATCTCAACCCTTCAGAATTCCTCAGAGTTCTAGTGGCCTGGCATTCCAGAATCTTCCACCCCTCCCCCCATGCCCTCTCATGCACAAAAGCACACACGCAGTTAGTACTATACTAGGAAAATACTATCTCTAGCATTTAGATAACCCGACTCTTCAGCGTTCTCGATTTGCTGACATCCCAGATTCCTCTCTCTCTCTCTCTCTCTCTCTCTCTCTCTCTCTCTCTTCCGTCTCTCTTATTTCTAGAATGAGGCCAGGTGCGGTGGCTCACGCCTGTAATCCCAGCATTTTCGGAGGCCGGGGGAAGGAAGATCGCTTGAGGTCAGGAGTTTGAGACCAGCCTGGCCAACACAGTGAAACCCTATCTCTACTAACAATGCAAAAATTATCCAGGCATGGTGGTGCACACCTGTAATCCCAGCTACTCGGGAGGCTGAGGTGGGAGGATCACTTGAACCTGGGAGGCAGAGGTCGCAGTGAGCCGAGATCACGCCACTGCACTCCAGCCTGGGTGACAGAGTGAGACCCCGTTTCAAAAAATAATAAATAAATATGTAAAAAAGAAATAAAATACAAATAGGATGACCAGCGTTCCAGAAACATGAGCGTTCTGGATTATCTGGCCTGGAAATAAAAAACACCCTAATATACTAGATCTGTGAGCATTACAAACCACCACCATATTCCAGATTTCCTGACCTTCAGCCCCTCCCCCCACATACTAGGATTCTTAATATGCCAATATCCCCCAATAGTCTGAATATTCTGGCATGTAAAATATTTTCTAGAGTCTGAGGCTGGGCATGGTAGTTCACACTTGTAATCCCAGCACTTTGGGAGGCTTAGGCAGGAGAATGGCTTGAGCCCAAGGGTTTGAGACCAGCCTGGGCAACATAGTGGGACAATGTCTCCTCAAAAAAAATTAAAAATTAGCTGGCCATGGTGGCAGACACCCGTAGTCCCAGATACTCAGGAGGCTGAGGCAGGAGGATCACTTGAGCCCAGAAGGTCGAAGCTGCAGTGAGCTAAGATTGCACCACTGCACTCCAGCCTGGGCAACAGAGTGAGACCCTGTCTCAAAAACAAACAGACAAACAAAAACAAAACTAGGGATTGAGACACAGCTGTTTCAGAATACCCGGGTTCAGAAGCACTCACCCTTTTGTTTTTTAAATTTAATTCGTGGGACCTTTGTTAAATCTTTTTTTTTCTTTTTCTTTTTTTTTTTTTTTTTTTGAGACGGAGTCTCACTCTATTGCCCAGGCTGGAGTGCAGTGGCATGATCTTGGCTCACTGCAATCTCCACCTCCAGGGTTCAAGCGATTCTCCTCCCTCAGGCTCCTGAGTAGCTGGGATTATGGGTGCGCATCACCATGCCCGGCTAATTTTTGTATTTTTAATAGAGATGGGGTTTCACCATGTTGATCAGGCTGGTCTCAAACTCCTGACCTCGTGATCTACCCGCCTAGGCTTCCCAAAGTGCTGGGATTATAGGTGTGAGCCACTGCGCCTGGCCTAGCACTCAGCAGTGCCAGGTCTCTCATTTGTGTTCTAGATTCTCTCATAATCTGGAACCTCCTGCCATTATGGATTTCTCGAAATGCAAACAAACCCTCCAGTGCTCTGGAAGGGCCAGTAGTCCGGGATCTCTCCCATTCTCTACACTTCCTCGTTAAACAGATTCCTTTTTGTATCCTATACTTCTCAGCATTCCAGACATCCTGGCATGCGAGATTTTCCTCCTGGTGGAGATTCATGGGTATGAACTCCCCTGACACCCTCCTATTTTAGAATCAGTGATGGTCCAGGTCCGTTTTGTCAGAAAGTCCACATTCTGGATTCTCTGATAAGCAGGGGAGAACTCTAATATTGTTAATCCACAAGCACTCCAGAATAGCCTTGTGGCCAAGATGTCCTGACATTCCAGACCCCTCTTCTTTTGTTTGTTGTTTGTTTGTTTGTTTCAGAGATAGGGTCTCGCTATGTTGCCCAGGCTGGAGTGCAGTGGCTATTCACAGGTGCGATCCCACTACTGATCTGCATGGCAGTTTGGACCTGCTCTGTTTCCGACCTGGGCCGGTTCAGCCCGCCTTAGGCATCCTGGTGGTCCCCCACTCCCAGGAGGTCACCATATTGATGCTGAACTTAGTGCAGACACCCGATGGGCAAAGCGCAGTGCAGCCCAGAACTCCTGGGCTCAAGTGATCCTTCCACCTTAGCCTCCCGAGTAGCTGGGACTACAGGCACAGGCCACCACGCTGGGCTCCACTATGTTTCAGAAGCTCTGGTATTCCAGAAACTATGGAATTCTACAATTAGCATGTTCTAGTATCCTCTACTCCTAGTCTGCCCCCACTTTCTGTCCTTTTTTAATTGGCACAAAGAAAAAAAATGCAGAAAACCTCCCTGAGGAGGTGCCATAGAAATAGGCATTATTTTGGGGGAAAAAAAAATCCCAAGGCCAGCTGGGCGAGGTGGCTCACACCTGTAATCCCAGCCAGCAGTTTGGGAGTCCGAGGTGGGTGGATTATCTGAGGTCAGGAGTTCGAGACCAGCCTTGCCAACATGGCAAAACCCTGCCTCCACAAAAATTAGCCAGCGTGGTGGTGTGTGCCTGTAATCCCAGCTACTTGGAAGGCTGAGGCAGGAGAATCGCTTGAACCTGGGAGGTGCATGTTGCAGTTAGCCAAGATCAAGCCACTGCACTCCAGCCTGGGCAACAGAGTGAGACTCTGTCTTTAAATAAATAAATAAGCAAAAATTAGCCAGGAGTGGTGGCAGGTGGCTATAATCCCAGCTACTCAGGAGGCTGAGGCAGGAGAATTACTTGAACCTAGGAGGTGGAGGTTGCAGTGAGCCAAGATTGTGCCACTGTACTCCAGCCTGGGTAACATGAGCAAGACTGTCAAAAAATAAAAAATACAAATATGAATAAATAAATAAATCCCAAGGATGTCAAGGCTTAGGTTAGCTGAACCTGTCCCACATGCCCTGTCTAGAAGATTAAGAAATAGCAAAGTCAGGGATGCTGGTGGAGATGTTTGCCACATCGAGGTATGGAGTACAAATGTTAAGGATGCAGTAACCAATCCATTTACATCTGCCACTCCTTCCCACTTGTTCTTCCCTCCAGGCACTCCTCCTCCACTCTACCCACGTGGGGCTGACCTCACCTTCAGGCTTGAGGACACATGATCCAGGCTGGGATAATGGAAGTCCTTCATCACTCTGGCCACAGTAATTGGTTCAGGAATGGGCCACTTGACTCAAATTCAAGCCAATGAGAATTAGTCCTGTGATTTTTTGCTGTTGCTAGGGAGAAAAGAGTTGCTAAGGGGCTGCTTAGAGTCACCTTGCCACAGGAGAAAAACCTAACTAAGGATGCATTCCGGAGGTAAATTGAGAGATGAAAAGATATTCTAGGCCAGGTGCAGTGGCTCACGCCTGTCATCTCAGCACTTTGGGAGGCTGAGGTGGGTGGATCACCTGAGGTCAGGAGTTTGAGACCATCCTGGCCAACACAGTGAAACTCTGTCTCTACTAAAAATACAAAAAGTAGCCAGGTGTGGTGGTACGCGCCTATAATCCCAGCTACTCAGGAAGCTGATGCATGGGAATCACTTGAACCTGGGAGGCAGAGATTGCAGTGAGCTGAGATGGCACCACTGTACTCCAACCTGGATGACAGAGTGAGACTGTCTCAAAATAAAAAAAAAATTCTTGATGAGTGTTTAACCTCTGGATCCAGCCATACCTGAAGGCAAAGAATAAGCCAATACATTCCTCCCTCCCCTTCAGCACCTTTTTTTTTTTTTTCAGCCAGGGTCTCACTCTGTCAGTCAGGCTGGTGTGCAGTGATGTCATCATGGTTCACTGCAGCCTTTGTCTCCCAGGCTCAAGTGATCTGATCCTCCCACCTCAGCCTCTCAAAAAGCTGGGACCGGCAGGGTGCAGTGGCTCATGCCTGTAATCCTAGCACTTTGGGAGGCCAAGGTGGGTGGATCACCTGAGGTCAGGAGTTCAAGACTAGCCTGGCCATCATGGTGAAACCCCATCTTTAAAAAAAAAAGAAGAAGCTGGGACCACAGGTGTACACCACCATGCCTGGTTAATTTTGGTATTTTTTTATAGAGTTGGGGTTTTGTCATGTTGCCCAGGTTGGTCTAAAACTTCTGAGTGCGAGCAAACTGTTCCCCTTGACTTCCCAAAGTGCTGGGATTACACGCATGAGCCACCGTGCCTGGCCTCCCTTTGCTTAAACAAGAGAGGTAGATGTTCCTGATTTTATATATATCAGGTCAGGTCCCACATCTCCACCACCACTTTCCCGGGGAGTCACAAACCTGCTAAGAATAAGCAAAATGTTGGCAGTGAGGACTTTATTGGGGAGGGTGACTTTGGCTTCCAGAAAAGAGGGAAGATGGGGACCTAGTAACAATGACTATTTATTCCAAGGAGGCCCTGGCCCTGAACCCAGGGCTCCCACAGGGCAAGGGAGGCACCCCAAGGTATCATGGCAGCTGTGTTGTTCAAAAGGAAGTTCCGTTGAGCTTCATCTTGGGAGGCATGAGGGGAATGCCAAGACCAGCAGAGGGCCAAGGGGCTGGCGTGGGTGGCCGCCGGAGCTCCGGCCCACTCCGCACCAGTTCCTGGCAGCGTTCCACAAAGCTACCTCCCCCACGGCGCCGGGCCTCAGCCTTCGGGGGGCTCGGGCTCCCACGGTGGCTGGTCAATGAGGTGTTGCTGGAGGCTGAGTGGAGGCTGAGGGAGTGAGGACAGTAAGTACACGTCATCACAGGGCAGCTGGGCCACTCTGCCCCCCAGAGTTACCACACTGTCTCCTCTTCCTCCCATTGCACAGAGGGGGAAGTGCAGTTGTGGCTACCTGGTGAGGGAGATTCGGGACGAGGTGCTTGGGAGAGAGCCCTGCCAGGGAGCCGGTGGGGCCAGCTCACAGTGTTCCAGCTGTTCCATCAGCTCTTGCTCTGTCAGGCCACCTGCTGGGGGGCACGGAAGCAGGGTCAGGGGGCAAGATGGGGGTCACAGGGCAAGGGCCAGAGTTATACTACAGTGCAAGCATCCAGGGTCAGGACAGGAGAAAGGAAGCAGAGATCAATGTACCGGGGTCAGAGGCTGAGACAGGTTGAAAAACAAGGGCAGGAAGGGATGGGGGACAGAGAGAGAGGGGGTCAAAGGAAAAGGGTCAGAGGGCAAGAGCCTGGGAGAGAGATCAAGAAGTCAGCCGTGGGGCTTGGGACGGGATTGGGGTGGGGCAGAGAGTACCAGGGGCCTGGCCGAGGCCGTCCATAGCGGTGGTTAGGTCCCACATGGCCAAGCTGCCATTGGCCTGGCCAGTGAGCAGGTAGCGCCGGGGCCGAGAGCCGAGCCGCCGGGAGCCCTCGCACTCCAGCACCGTGAAGGCCGTCGTGGGTGAGCCATCCACGGAACGCACGGAGCATACCCTGGGAGGAGCATTGGGGGAGTCGGTCACCCTCACTTTCTCACCCTTCCCGGTCCCAGCCCCCACCACTGTGGCTGCAGTTCCTGCCTCTCAGCGGCCACCCCCAATCATTATCCATCCCTAGCCTGCTTTTCTCTCCAGTTCCAGTTGCAAGGGTCCAGCAGCCTCTTGGACACCCCTAACCCCAAACTCCCAGGAAGTCTCCCCAGAGCGGCTGCTCTTCCCGGTTCCCACTGCAGGGAAGGCCCGAGTCCCATCCTAGCTGCTCCCCGACCTCCTATCAGCCTCCTGGCCTCCTCCCTGGACTCCTGGACTCCCATCAAGCCTCCTTTCATCCCCCGAGCAGTGGCCACAGCTCCCTGAACAGGACAGCCTCAGCCCTTCCACAGCCTGACCAGGACTCGCCCACATCTGTGCCCCATCCTCACCTTCTGTTCTGTGCCCCAGCCCGAGTGTCCACGTGTCCTTCCCGTGTGACCCTATTGGCCCTTCTCAGCCTCTGCACATATGGTTCCCTCAGCCTGCAGTCCCCTACCTCTCCCTTCTTTCTTTTGCTCCTTCCCTCTTGTCCTCTAGGTCTCTGCTCAAAGTCCCTTCTTCCAGAACATCCTCCTTTCCCAGCTGAAGCAAGGCTCCTAAAGCTCTTTGGGCCACCTCCATCCCACCCTGACCCCTCTGCCTGGGCCCCCCATCCCACCCTCACCCCTCTGCCTGGGCCCCCCCATCCCACCCTCACCCCTCTGCCTGGGCCCCCCCATCCCACCCTCACCCCTCTGCCTGGGCCCCCCATCCCACCCTCACCCTTCTGCCTGGACCTCCCATCCCACCTCACCCCTCCGTCTAGGCTCCCCATCCCACCCTCACCCATCCGCCTGGGCCCCCCATCCCACCCTCACCCCTCCGCCTGGGCCCCCCATCCCACCCTCACCCCTCCGCCTGGGCCCCCCATCCCACCTCACCCCTCCATCTGGGCTCCCCATCCCACCCTCACCCCTCCACCTGGGCCCCCCATCCCACCCTCACCCCTCCACCTGGGCCCCCCATCCCACCTTCAGCCCTCCGCCTGGGCCCCCCATCCCACCTCGAACCTTCCGCCTGGACCTCCCATCCCACCCCCACCCCTCTGCCCAGGGCCCCCATCCCACCCTCACCCCTCTGCCTGGACTCCCCATCCCACTCTCACCCCTCTGCCTGGACACCCCATCCCACCCTCACCCCTTTTCCTGGGCCTCACATCCCACCTCGACCCGTCTGCCTGGAACCCCCATCTCACCCTCACCCCACTGCCTGTGCCGCCAACCTGGCCCTGGCTGCACTGTTCCAGGTCACTCCCACCCACACCTGTCACACCTTTAATACCTCCTGCCCCAAACCCACTAAGCCTGTCCTCCCTCCCAGCCTTTGTTCCTTCAGTGTTGCTCGGCTGGGACCCCTTTCTGGCCTCAGTGACCTGGCTGGCATCTTGCCTTCTCCCCTGACCTCCCCCCTGTTGGACAGGACAGTTCTCACCGCTGCCCAGTAGATGAGAGACGCACGAAGAGCTGGCTGGCACTGGGCACCACCTTCTGGATGAACACTTGCTGGTCGTCCCGCTCGCCGTAGGGGCCTGGGACAGGCAGGGGCAGGAGTCAGGGCCAGCTGGGGTCCCCCGGGCCTCAGACTCCCTTCCACACTGATGAAACCCACCACCCCAAGACCCCGATCCCGTCCCCAGGCTGCTGGAGTTGGACAGGGCCAGAGAGGGCTGGGGGTTGCAGCAGTCAGTGGAGCTCAGGTGCCTCAAGGATCGAGACATCCCAATCGTTGCAGGCTCCTGGGTCAGGTGGCAGCGAGTGGGAATCAGTGGAGGTCAACAGGGGTCAGGTAGGGGGAGGTCAGTGGGGTGCAGGGGTCAGGAGTCAGTAGGCACCAATGTCGTTGCCGGCACTGCAGCCGCCATGCCCGTCGGCCGACTCCAGCGCCAGGATCTTGAAGGAAGCGAGTGGGGTGGAGCCGGGCTGGGTGGAAATCATGCCTCGGAAGCGAGTCACAGACCACGTCCGCACATGGTTGTTGTCGGCACAGACTGAGGGGCACAGGGAGAGCAGAAGGTCAGGCCTGGTGCAGGCTCAACGCACCCACCCCTCCAGAGTCCCAAGACAGCCCCATTTCAGGAGGGTCAGGCTTTTCTGAGGCCTTCCCTTTCAGAGAATCCTCTCCTCCCCAGAATTCCAATTTTTTTTTTTTTCTTAAGAAGCCTCCAGTGGAACAGAATTCCAAATGTTAAAAACCCTAGTTGCAATTCTCACACTTAATAAAATAGATTTCAAAGCTACAAGGATGCAAGGGTAAAAGGATTAATGTAACAATAAGAGATCTTAACACCCAGATACATAAGACACATAATGAGATTTAGATTCAACGAGACAACAAATTGATAACGATATCCAGGACTTGAACTCAGAGCCAGAACAAATAAACACAATAGAGGTCTCCATTTTAAACACATAAAATATGCATTAACCACTTTAAACACTCAAAATATTGATCGGCCATTATTGAAACCCATTTTAGGAATGAAGTAATATTCCTTTTTCCCTCTTTTTCTTTTTATCCCCTTCTTTTTCTCTTTAAAAAAAAAAAAAAAAAAAAAGGAAAAAACCCTGTTGCCGGGGCGGTTGCTCACGCCTGTAATCCTAGCACTTTGGGAGGCCGAGCTGGGTGGATCACCTGAGGTCAGGAGTTCAAGACCAGCCTGGCCATTATGGTGAAACCCCATCTTAAAAAAAAAAAAAACCCTGTTGCCATTGGGTACAGTGGTTCACGCCTGTAATCCCAGCACTTTGCGAGGCCAAGGTGGGCGGATCACAAGGTCAAGAGATTGAGACCATCCCGGCCAACATGATGAAACCCCATCTCTACTAAAAATACAAAAATTAGCTGGGTGTGGTGGTGTGCGCCTGTAGTCCCAGCTACTTGGGAGGCTGAGGCAGCAGGATCGCTTGGACAGAGAGAGGCAGAGGTTGCAGTGAGCCAAAATCACTCCAGCCTGGGCAACAGAGGGAGACCTCGTCTCAAAAAAAAAAAAAAACAAAGCCAGTTGCCTCTGCCTCAGGAATTGTTCCAGAGCCTGGTCTCACCTTCCCCTGTCCTCTGCCCCATGCTGGTTCTGGTCCATTTTGTCAAGCCTGAACCATGTCAGAACCCCGATCCCAGAGGCCCCTGCTCCTCCTGTCCTATCCACGTAGTGTGTTCCCATGGGCAGCCAGGTGGAGCCTGTGGACGCCTGAGTGTAGCCATGTTCCTCCCCTGCTTAGAGCCCCCTGTGGCTCCTGCCCTTGTCACCTCCATACCCTCATCTCCCCCCATTCTCTGTTCCAGGCACAAGGGGCTCCCTGCACTTCCTCAGACATCCTCACCTCAGAGCCTTTGCAATGTCTGTTCCCTCTGCCTGAATGCTTGTCCCCACCGATCTACGCTGCTCATTACATTATTTCTGATGAAAGGTACTTTCTCGGGCCTTCCCTGAATGACCCATCTCCAGCAACTTCACACTGCCTAGCCACACACAACTTCATGTTTATTCACACCCCTTATCACTGCCTGGTGTTGAGTTAGATTATTTTATTAGTATTTTATGAGACAGAGTCTAGCTTTGCTGCCTGGGCTGGAGTGCAGGGGTACAATCATCGCCGACTGCCACCCCTGACTCTCGGGCTCAGGTGATCCCTCCGCCTCAGCCTCCCAAGGAGCAGGGATCACAGGTGCAAGCCACCACACCAGCTATTTTTAAAAAAATCTTTTGTGTACGAACAAGGTCTTACTTTGTTGTCTAGGTGGGTCTCACACTCCTGGCCTCAAGCAATCCTCCCAGCTTGGCCTCCTGAAGTGCTGAGCCACAGTGCTCCCCCTGATTTGCATTTTTCTTTATTTAGAGATGGAGTCCCGCTCTGTTGCCCAGGCTGGAGTGCAGTGGCATGATCTTGGCTCACTGCAATTTCCGCCTCCCAAGTTCAAGCAATTCTCCCACCTCAGCCTCCTGAGTAGCTGGGATTACAGGTGCGTGTTACCACACATGGCTAATTTTTTATATTTTTGGTAGAGATGGACTTTCACCACGTTGGCCAGGCTGGTCTCAAACTCTTGACCTCAAGTGATCCACCCACCTTGGCCTCCCAAAGTGCTGGGGTTATAGGTGTGAGCCACCGCACCTGGCCACTGATTTCCATTTTTATTTATTTATTATTTGCCATCCCCGCTAGAATGAAACTTCCACAAGGGCAGGGACTTGGCCTATATTGTTCATCACTGCCTCCCCTAAGCCTGGCACACAGTGGGTGCCCTGTAAATCCTTAGTGAATTGCTGGATTCCGTAACACACACAGATTCACTCTTCCCCAAACGGATCCCCTTACAGTGTTCTCTCACTTCTGCAATGACAGCCCCATCCCAGGTCAATCCTCTCCCCCAGAGCTCTCTTCCTACACAATGTCCCTTCCCAGTGGAAATTCTCATCCTCCTGGCTCCACACTACCATCTGAGCCGTCTCTCTCAGAACCTCAAGCAGCCCAGGGAGGCTCACCTGAGATGAGGTGCTTCTCTGACAGCATGATCTTGGTGACGGGGCTGCGGTGCACAGTGAAGGTCTGGAAGAGCTGAGGCCCCGAGCCCACAGTCTCTGGGTGCTGCACGATGACCCGCACGCCCCCCGAGCTGGTGCCGTACGCGATCTCGATCCAGTTCCCACTGTCACCTGGTGAGGGGCCAAGGATGAAGAGATGGCCTGGGCCACAGAGACAGGAACCAGGGCAGAGAGAAAGAGACAGGCACGGAACAGAGATACAATCAGAAAGGAAGAAGAGGTGGGGTGCGGTGGCTCACGCCTGTAATCCCAGCACTTTGGGAAGCTGAGGTGGGTGCATCACCTGAGGTCAGGAGTTCGAGACCAGCCTGGCCAGTGTGGTGAAACCCTGATTCTACTAAAAATACAAAAATTAGCTAGGTGTGGTGGTGTATGCCTGTAGTCCCAGCGACTCATGAGGCTGAGGCATGAGAATTGCTTGAACCCAGGAGGTGGAGGTTGCAGTGAGCCAAGATCATGCCACTGCACTTCAGCCTGGGCAACAGAGTGAGACACTGTCTGAAAAAAAAAAAAAAACGAAAGAGACAGACACAGAACAGACACACAGCCAGAAAGCAAGGAGAGAGGAAAGGAGACAAAAAGGTGGGGATGAGATGTGGGAAATGGAGGAACAAGAAGACAAAGGAACAGGTCAGAGGAGGAGAGGCACGGAGACAGAAATTGTAACAGAGAAACAGCAAATAAGAGAGGAAAGAGAGAAAAATAGAGAACAGAGGCCGAGGCAGGAGGATCACTTGAGGCCAGGAGTTTGAGGCCAGCCTGGGCAACATAGTGAGACCCTACAAAAGGTTTTTTAAAAACTAGCAGGCCATGATGGCATGCACCTATAATCCCAGCTACTCAGGAGGCTGAAGTAAGAGGATCCCTTGAGCCCAGGAGGGTGAGGTTGCAGTGAGCTAGGATCACGCCACTGAACTCTAGCATAGGTAACAAAGTGAGACTCCGTCTCAAAAACACAAAGATGACAGAATAGTGGCATGTGGTGGGGAAGGAGATGAGGAGGAAATAAGAAAGAGGCTGGGTGTGGCAGCTCATGCCTGTAATTCCAGCAATTTGGGAGGCCAAAGCAGGAGAATCACTCGAGCCCAGGAGTTCGAGACCAGCCTGGCCAACAAGGCAAAACCTTGCCTCTCCTCAAAATACAAAAATTAGCCGGGCATGGTGGCGAGCACCTGTAGTCCCAGCTACTTGGGAGGCTGAGGCAGAACTGCTTGAACCCAGGAGGTGGAGGTTGCAGTGAGCCCAGATCACGCTACTGCACTCCAGCCTCGGCAACAGAGTGATACTCTGTCTCAGAACAAACCAAAAAAAAGAAGAAGAAGAAGAAAAGACAGAGTTGAATCTGCCGCCCCCTGATAAACCCCCTGGGTCATGCTACACACGCTAGGGGACAGCTGCAGACTGAGGCTGGGGCTGGGGCTGGCTGGTGACAGCACCAGGGAAGCTGGGTCATAGCTTACTGGTCTTGGGGGTGAGGTAGACACTGAGGGCGGTGACCCCATCCTCTGCTGGGTCCCGGTAGAGCTCGCTGACCAGGAGGTCGTTGTCTTTCATGCGCAAGGGGAACTTCTGCACATCTGAGGTGGGCAGAGAGGGCGGAGTGGGTTTGTTCCACATGCCCTGGCCTGTCTCCCTCCCTTCCCCTCTACCAGGGGAGGCTCTCAGGCACCCAGGACATGGGCTGCTGCTCACCCACGTAGTAGATGGAGCCATTGTTGCAGCCCAGGAGGAGGAAGGAGCCTGCTGCATCGTAACTGGTGATGGGCTGAACCTCCTGGACCTAGGGGTGGGGCAGGACAAGCTTCAGCCGGGAGCCCTTCCGCTCCTTTGCTTCAGTGGTGAGGGACGCCTCACAGAGGATGGGCCCTCTCCTCCCCGTCCAGAACCCATCCACTGCTCCGCAGCCCCAGCTGCCCTAGGCCGACCTCTGTCCCCATCTGGTTCCCTCCCTTCCTCCCTTTCGTGCATCTCTCTCTCTGACTCTTGGCCTCTCCTGGACTCCGTACTTTTTAAAGTTTTAATTTTTTTGTAGAGACAGAGTCTTATTATGTTGCCCAGGCTGGTATTAAACTCCTGGGCTCAAGCCATCCGCCTGTCTCAGCCTCCCAAAGTGCTGGGATTACAGGTGGGAGTCACGCACCTGGCCTTGACTCTATACTTCTGACATGACTCGAATTCATCTCCCGTTACCTAAGTTCCTCCATCTGCCACATAGTTCAATTTGGTTTGACTCTGTCTACCCTTCTCTGTCACCGCTTTCTGATTTTCTATTTTTATTTGCTTAGTTTTCTCCCACTCTGTCTCTTTCTCTGCCTCTATCTTTCTCCCAAAGCCATCCTCCCACTTCAGCCTCCCAAAGTGCTGGGATTACAGGTGTGAGCCACTGAGCCAAGCCAGTTCCTGTCTCTTCCAGCATCTCCCCTAACCTGCTGTCTCACCCAGTCCCAAGAAAATCCTCCCTCCCCCTTTTCAAATCCATTCATGCTTCATGTGGGCTCTGCAGCCCCTCCTCCAGGAAGGCTTCCCTGATACTCTTGGGCCTTTATCACAGACATCCCCGAGGCTCTAGCCAGTTGCTGATTCTCTGGCTTCCTCCAGGTTTGGGGGTAGGGGTGGGGGTGGGGACGGAAGCAAACCCCTCCCTGGGTCTGTACAGTCTGGAAAACTGGGAAGGGAACTCTGACCTGCCAGTGCTTGGTGACGGCATTCCACACCCCGATGCGTCCTGTGTGGCTTGTAGCAATGAGCTGGTTCCCAACGAAGAACAAAGCTTCCACAGGCACCCCCAGATGGAAGACCCCTGCAGTGCGCAAAAGGGGCTCAGCTGGAACCCTGCCTTATGGAGGAGGAGAGGTGGGAGGAAGAACTCCAAGGACCGGAGGATTCAGTAGGACCACAGAATCCTTGAAAGACAGGAGATTCCATCAGGGGCTGGGCACAGTGGTTCGCACCTGGAATCCCAGCACTTTGAGAGACTGAGGTGGGCGGATCACTTGAGGCCAGGAGTTTGAGACTGGCCTGGCCAACATGGTAAAAACCCATCACTACTAAAAATATAAAAATTACCTGGGTGTGGTAGTGCACACCTGTAGTCCCAGCTACTTGGGAGGCTGAGGCAGGAGAACTGCTTGAACCCGGGAGGCAGAGGTTGCAGTGAGCCGAGATTGCATCACTGCACTCCAGCCTGGGCACCAGAGCAAGACTCAATCTCAAAGAAAAAAGATGTAAATATCCCAGCAGGAATTTCAAAGGATAAAGTAGGCCAGAAGATTTCTGAGGAGCGTGGGATTCTAAAGGAGACTGGAATTCTAACAGTACTGAGCTTTGCAACAAGGCCAAGGAAACCTCCGGTGGTGGCAAGGGACTCTTACGGGGCCAACATTGATTTGCAGGCATGTTAGTAAGTCAGGGATGTTGTTGTGGGTCCGAGACAGGGCCTTGCTTCACTTCCCAGGCTGGAGTGTGGTGGTGCAGTCGTGGCTCACATAGCTCACTGCAGCCCCGAACTCCTGGCTTCAAACAATCCTCCTGCCATGGTCTCCCAGAGTGCTGGGACTACAGGTGTGAGCTACTGTGTCCAGCCATAAGTCAGATATTTCTTTTTTTTTTTTTTTTTTTCCCTGAGATGGAGTCTCACTCTGTCACCCAGGCTGGAATGCAGTGGTGCGATCTCAGCTCACTACAACCGCTGCCTCTGAGGTTCCAGTGATTCTCCTGCCTCAGTCTCCTGAGTAGCTGGGACTACAGGCACGCCATCACACCCAGCTAATTTTTTGTATTTTTAAAAATGGGGTTTCACCATGTAGGCCAGGGACGTCTCGAACTCCTGACCTCAAGTGATCTGCCCACCTCAGCCTCCCAAAGTGCTGGGATTACAAGTGTGAGCCACCGCACCAGGCCAAGTCAGAGATTTCTAATGGTGATACAAAATGGTTCATTTTAACAAAATGAAGAGATCTAACTGGGCAGGGAATTCTGATGGAGGGAGAATTGTATGTGGTTGCACGTGGGTGGATTTTTCTAACAAGCCAAGGAATTCTAACAGGATATAGAATTCTGAAGGGCTAGAGCATTCTAAAGACACAAAGAGATCTAATGGGGCAGAAAATTCTTATGGGTTTAAGAGTTTTATTGTGGGTTTTATTTTTTGTTTTTTTTTGAGACAGAGTCTTGCTCTGTCACCAGGCTGGAGTGCAGTGGCTCTATCTCAGCTCACTGCAACCTCTGCTTCCTGGGTTCAAGTGATTCTCCTGCCTCAGCCTCCTGAGTAGCTGGGACTATAGGCATGTGCCACTGCGCCCAGCTAATTTTTGTAGAGACAGGGTTTCACCATGTTGGCCAGGATGGTCTCGATCTCCTGACATCAAGATCCACCCACCTTGGCCTCCCCAAGTGCTGGGATTACAGGCCTAAGCCACCTCACCCGGCCTGTGGTGGGTTATTTTAATGGGCCGTAGAATTTAAAGGACAGAGGGTTCTGGAAAAGGCTTGAGGCCATACCTATCTCGGAGCCACCACCTTCCGCCTGCAGAGCCCACAGCAGGATCTCACTGCAGGTGGCCGCTGCCACCATCTTGTCATGTTCACCCAAAGCCCCACCGGGCACCCGGGCTGTGAGCGCCAGTCGTTCGATGGACCAGTCCAGGCGGGGACTGGAAAACACCAGCTGCCAGCCAGAGGCTTCCTTCAGCCTGCAGGGTTGAGGGGACATCACCAACCCTCACTGCATGCCCTCCCTGACAACAGGGCTGGGACCTCCTGCCACTCCCTCCCCAAGCACCTGTAGCAGACTAGAAACTGAGTATAGGCCACGGCGATCCAGTTATGGTGCCCACACACCAGGCGCACCATCCCCGGCTCCTCAGGTTGCCCTTGAGGGGAAGAGCGGGGATCAGAAGAGGGTCACAGGGGCCCCACAGCTTCCCCAACCTCCCATGAGATAGAAATGTACCTGAGGGTGAGGGAGGGGCCTTCTCATCCAGCATACGGCCCAGCAGCCCTGCATTCCCAAGGTTGGGGGGCATCGTGTTGCTCCGTCGGACAGGGGCCGGGCGCCCTCCTAGCTGCTGAGGCCCCAGTAGGCTGTGCCGGTTCCGCCGCTTCACCGGGAACGCTAGAGAACAACAGGTAGAGTAACAGTCATAATCGTGGCTGTCACATAGCAAGCACTTAAAATATGACAGTGACTGACTTCCCCTTGTGTGGGACATAGTCTCTGGGTGAAGATTTTAGGTGGGGCAGTGACATGGCATGAAATGACACTGAACCACACAGCAAATCACTGCCCTTTCAGTTCCCTTGAAACTTTTTTTTTCTTGGAGTTGGAGTTTTGCTCTTGTTGCCCAGGCTGGAGTGCAACGTGTAATCTCAGCTCACTGCAACCTCTGCCTCCCAGGTTCAAGTGATTCTCCTGCCTCAGTCTCCCAAGTAGCTGGGATTACAAGCGCCTGCCATGACACCTGGCTAATCTTTTGTAATTTTGGGAGAGACGGGGTTTCACCATGTTGGCCAGGCTGGTCTCGAGCTCCTGACATCAGGTGATCTGCCCACCTTGGCCTCCCAAAGTGCTGGGATTACAAGTGTAAGTCACCGCACCTGGCCCTAATTTTCCCTCTTAACAAATAGAAGTCTGCACCGTTGGCAAGCGATAGCATCTAGCCAGAGTTGTTTTTTGCTTTGTTTTGTTTTGAGATAGCATCTCGCTCTGTCACCCAGGCTGGGATGTAATACGAGATCATAGCTTACTGTAGCCTTGACCTCCCGGGCTCAAGGGATCCTCCCGAATAGCTGGGACCCCAGGTGTAGCCCACCACACCTGGGTATTTTTTTTTTTTTGAGATGGAGTCTTGCTCTGTTGCCCATGCTGGAGTGCAGTGGTGCGATCTCAGCTCACTGCAACCTCCACCTCCTGAGTTCAAGCTATTCTCTGCCTCAGGCTCCTGAGTAGCTAGGATTACAGGCACCCATTACCACGCCAGGCTAATTTTTGTATTTTAGTAGAGACGGGGTTTCACCATCGTGGCCAGACTGGTCTTGAACTCCTGACCTCGTAATCCACCCACCTTGGCCTCCCAAAGTGCTGGGACCACAGGTGTGAGCCACTGCACCCAGCCAATTTGTTTTTATTCTTAGTAGAGAAAAGGTCTTGCTATGTTGCCTGGGCTGGTCTCAAACTCCAGGTCTCAAGCGATCCACCTGCCTCAGCCTCCAAACTGCTAGGATTACAGGTGTGAGCCATTGTTCCAAGCCTCGCTAGAGTTTAATAACACTGCTATGTTTGGGTGTTATTTTCATGTTTACTTTGTATTTGTGATATAAAGCTTATATTTTCAATGATTTTTTTGTTTTTTGTAGTCAGCAGGGCATGGTCGCGAGTGCTGCTTGGTGGTGGAGCTGAGGTGGGGGGATGGTTTGAACCTGAGAGGCAGAGGTTGCAGTGAGCCGAGATGGCACCACTGCACTCCAGTCTGGGCAACAGAGCCAGACCCTGTCTCAAATAAGTAAGTAATTAATTAATTAATTTAAAAATGATTGTTTTTGGAAAACAGGATAAAACTAAGTTGGAAAAATACTACTACAGGTCTTTATATCTGGCAAATTTCATGAAGGTAGTAGGTCCCGACAGCAGTTAGGGAAATAAAGCTGTAGATGAAATTTTCCTACTCTGTTCCTTCTACCAATTAGAAAAGCCGAGTCCCAGTAACCACTGGGGCCATACCTTCCATGGCAGTGGGACGGCTACCATGGGCATTATGGTCAATAACTTCCCATTAACATTTCTCCCCGCCGTGCAAAGAATCCCAGGTCTTCCAAAGCCCCCCTACAAAGAAACCAAATCTGGGCTGCAACTCCCATGGGGCTCCAGAGCATTCTTCTGAGCCTCAAGAGCTAGCTGGCCCATTGCCTCACGGGAAATGATATTTCCGACTTCCTTTCCAAGCATCAGCCCAAGCATCTGATAGGAAACTACACCTCCCATCGTGTCTCAGGGTTCACAACACAGGCACCCAAGAGTTGCGGCCTTATGGGAAATGTAGTCTTTAGTCCACCTCCACACCCCTCCATTCCATTGGGAGTGCCCACCTGGTGGGGGCAGGTAACCATTGAAGAGGACGTTTCCGCAAGAAGATCGATCCAACTCCTCTCGAAGCTGCAAGCGACGAACTGCAACAGGAGGACTTAAAGGCTGGGACTTAGGGGGATGCTGAGGCCACCCCATTTCCCCCTTTCCGTTTCTCTCTACACAGAATACCAGTACTCCCCTCAGTACCAATACAGACCCAGGACCATATCCAGTGCTCTCAGCTCTACCCCAGCCCTCTTTCAGAAGAGACGGGGAAGAGGGGCAGGCAGCATCACTACAGAGTTGGTTTTCTATACAATGAGGATGATAGTTGGGGACCCCACTTACCCAGAGGAGTGAGCCCATAGAACTGGGCTTCATGGAGGAGGCTGGAACCGTGGACACCCCTGGGTAGTAGAATTGACTAGAGGTCAGGATCCAGGGGATGGGGGTGAGCAGAGAATTCTGAGGGGGAAATTTTCAAAACTGCACAGAGAATGTAAAGGAGTAGAAAGTTTTGATGGAATCAAGATTCTAAGGAGTGATGATATGGGTGGAGGAAGTGTGTGTGTGTGTGTGTGTGTGTGTGTGTGTGTGTAGGGTGAAACTGAAGGACATAATTTTAACATGATCAAGGTTCTCATGAAGTTTTGCTTATTTGTTTTTTTAGAGATGGGGTTTCGCTATGTTGCCTAGACTGGTCTCCAAATCCTGGGCTCAAGTAAGCCTCCCACCTCAGCCTCTCAAAGTGCTGGGATTACAGTCGTGAGCAACCCCACCGCGCTCAGCCTGTGATCAAGGTTCCGAATGAGAATTCTAAAAGAATGGAGCTGAAGTGGGCATTGGAGGAAATGAAAGAACTTCGCAGGGGGTGAAGACAGTGAGGGACTCCCTCCCCTTTTTCCATGCCAACCTGGGGTCCAACTCTTTGGTGCGCAGGAAGTTGAGGATGGGAGCAAAGACTGTAGGGTCCCTGTCGATGAAGATCTGCGGGAAAGAGGGGCAGAGGATGGATGGGGTAAAGGGCAGGACTGAGTAGGGGTCCTGCCCATTTTCCGACCCCAACCCCTTCCCCCGTCCCATTTCAGTTCTTGTCCGACTTACTGCTCCAGTCTCATCTTTCAGCGTCGAGATGCGTCCGCTCAGAAGACTATAGGGAAGGGACACCGAGCAGGTGTCACGGGCCGGGGGAGTGGATATTAGGCCTCCCAAGCCCTCTCCATCCCCCCTACCCTCGTCCCAAACTCGCTCTCCCGATCACCTGGAGAAGAAGGAGTCTGGGATCCAAGTGAGCGTCTGGCGAGAGGTACTGAATCTGGGCGGGGAAGTAGAGGAGCCGGTGAGGAATGTGGTCCCCTCCCGCAGAATCCAGGGTTCCCTCCCCTCCCTTCCCCCGGCGTTTTTCCAGGCTCTCGCGCTTCCAACAGGGGGGCGGAGCAACCCTTGATGGACAGGTATTTTCCCCAGGAGAGGCGGGTAGGGTACTCCCACCCCGCTTCCCGCCCCCAAGGATGGGCCCTCAGGAGTCTCCCGCACTCACCTCTTGCCTCCCACATTCAGATGAATCACTTCCCCGGGAGGTCCCCTAATCGGGACCCCCTCGGCTGCAGTAGTCGCAGCTGCCATGGCCCCCGGGCGAGCCGGCTGGCCCGCACCCACTTCCGGGTGTGCACCCGGACCCCGCCCTCACCGGCTGCTCATTGGGCTAGAGACTCCAGGGGTCACTGACGATTGGACAGAACGCCTGCCCATTAAGGTTAACTTTTCCGCCTCTTTAAAGGGGTCCGCCTTTCCTGGACTGGACGGGGCGGACCTGGTGTCTCCTTTAGGGAAGTTTATTACGAAGCATAACAAAATATTCTCCATCCCTCTAGGTTCTCGTTTTAGGTATGGCATCTAGGTGCATCGTCAAGAGGCGTGTGTTTAGACCCGAAATTAAGTACACATCAAGAGGTACATCTAGATGTTCTCCACAGCCACTCTACCCCCGTGCCGCCCTCCCCATCCCGCACCCACCCCCACAGCCACCACAGCTCTCCTTTCAATCCTGCCAGACGTATCCCAGAAAACCCAAACAAAGCAGCACAGGCCGTCAAAGCCAAAGGGTTTATTACAGGTACATACAGTGTGCGCCCGCCACACCGCCGCACACTCCCGGGCCTCAGCGGCTTCTCCAGGCGGCCATGGGGGCTGCCCACAACCCGGTCCCCGACTCCCCAAGGAGGTGCTCCAGCCAGAAGCATGCAGGGGGAGGGCTTCCCCTCGCCCCTCCCCTCATGTAGTGGCATTTACAACTGGGGGGGGGGAGAGGAAGACAGTTTTGAGCTTTGACGCCCCTCCCATTAAAAGCCTTCGCGGATGCGGGGCGGGGGAGGAGGAGATCGACGTTTTGCAAAAATAAACTAAGTCAGGAATTAACCGCATGGCTCTGAGGCGGCAGAGTGCAGAGGTTAGGGCCCCTTCACTCCCCCCTCCCAGACAGAGATCAAGGCAGCATTGGAAGTGAGGTAAAGGCGGGGAGGGGGTGTCCCCTCCCTACCCCCTAGCACCCTGGATGGTCCAGGGGACCTCACCAGCGCCCCCGTGCCCATCCCTAGGGCGGAAAGGGGGGCAGGATTTATCGCCCCCACCACCCCAGCTTCTTGGGGCAGGATCTGCAGATAGGGGCAGGGGGCTTGGCTCAACTGGCCCCCTGCCCACCCCCATCAAGCTCAGTTATTGCATAAAAATAAGGGAGCCCCAGCACCTGGGGTGGGGGTGGTGAGTGGGAAGGGGCCGAGATATGGCTATAGGGGCAGCGATCTCCCCACCAATTCTTGGGGTGCAGGAGAAGTCCCCTCCTTTCCAGTGCCCACCAGGTCACACGTCCTCAGTGTTGGGACTAGGGGCTCCCGCCCCTGTGGAAAAAAAAAGTGTCTTTGTGCCCACAGTGCGGAAAAAAGGGGCGACGAGATGTGTCAGGCCATGGGGGTGGGAAGTCACTTCCTGCGCCCGCTGGCCCTGCGGTCTCCGCCTTCCCTCTTGGGATTGCCCTCGTCTGTGGATGAAGTAGTGGGTAGTGTCTGGCTCCAGCGGGCGATCTCTGCGTGTTCCGCCACCGAGACAGCCACAGCCTCCAGCCAGCCATTCATCTCCTCCTGAGGGAAGAAACAGGGCACAGAGTCCGTATTTGGAAGAAAGAAGCTGGAATAATAGGTGAATCTCAGATCAGACTACCCTCTCTGAAATTCAGTTTTCTCATCTATGAAAAAGGGATGATGATGATGCAGTGACATAGCAATATGTGTCAGGCTCTGTTCCAAACACTTTAGTGGATTAATTCCCTTCAACTTGGGACTAAATATACTTCCTACTACAGAGATAAATGGCATAAACAATAACAATATGGGCCGGCACTACTAGAGCACTTGACATTTACCAGGCCCAGTGCTACATATCAATTTATCACGTACCAATTAAATGTGGAGCAATTTAATTCTCACAATAACCCTATTATAAGAAACTTTTTAATTTTTTTGAGACAGAGTCTTGCTTTGTCCCCCAGGCTGGAGTGCAGTGGCTCAATCTTGGCTCACTGCAACCTCCGTCTGCCAGGCTCAAGGGATACTCATGCCTCAGTCTCCCAAGTATCTGTGACTACAGGCGCATGCCACCATGCCTGGATACTTTTTGTATTTTTAGTAGAGATGGGTTAACCCTCTGCAATTCTGCACCTCCGGTCCTCTGCACTTGTAGTTCCCTCTTCCTAGAGACCCACCCCCTTCTGTGTTTGAGAGAGAATCTCACTCTGTCCCCCAGCCTGGAGTGCAGTAGCACAACCACGGCTCATTGTAGCCTTGACCTCCCTGGTTCAGGTGATCCTTCCACTTGGCCTCCCAAGTAGCTGGGACTACAGGCGTGTGACACAACCCTTGGCTAATTTATTATTATTATTATTTGTAGAGATGGGATCTCTCTGGGTTGCCCAGGCTGGTCTTGAACTCCTGGGCTCAGGCAGTCTTCTGCTTGGCCTCCCAAAATGCTGGGATTACAGGCATGAATCAAGATGCACGACCTGAATCACCCCCTTTTTTTTAGACCCCCGGCCTTATGAATCATTTCTTTTTTTTGAGACAGAATTTTGCTCTTGTTGCCCAAGCTGGAGTGCAGTGGCAGGATCTCGGGTCACTGCAACCTCTGCCTTCCAGTTTCAAGCAATTTTCCTACCTCAGCCTCCTGAGTAGCTGGGATTACAGGTGCCTGCCATCATGCCCAGCTAATTTTTGTATTTTCAGTAGAGACGGGAGTTCACCATGTTGGCCAGGCTGGTCTCGAACTCCTAACCTCATGATCCGCCCACCTCAGCCTTCCAAATTGCTGGGATTACAGCTATGAGCCACCACGCCTGGCTGAATCATTCCTTTGTAAGGCGAACTCTCTCCTATCTTTCCAGTCTCACCTGAATAGCCACGGCAAGGAGGCTGGACTTTGTCATCAGGAACTCCAGGCAGCCCTCCCTGAAGGCCTTCCCACTCTCCCCTGGGTTAGGAACCTCCTCTGGGCTCTCAGTGCCTGTGGGCTTTCCCATTACAGCCCTGATAACTTGGCCGTGCCTGTCCCTTCTCACAGCCCCATCACTCTGGGTCAGGAGCCAGCCAGCCAGGTCATTACTGACATCCACACAGAGGAAGGAAAGGACCAGCTCTCACCTCATCTTTTGCCTGGAGCAAAAATTCACTGCCATCCTGGGTCCTGCAGGAAGGGAAACAGGACTTGAGGGATCTGGGGAAGGGGCCCAACCCACCTGCCCACCAACTGTCCCCCAGGGAAGCCAGGGTCCCACTGGGAGGGGAAGCTGAGCCTTGGATCCCTCCCTCCTGCCCACTGGGGGGCTCACTGGAGCTTGAAGACATGCTTCTTTTTCTTGTAGTCACTAGCCACCTCGCTGGTGGCTTTGTGCAGGCTGAGCAGAGGCTCCCCGCCGTGTGTGCTCCCGGATGCCGGGCCCTTGGAGTCCTTGTAGAAGCCCAGTTCCCCCTTACTAAGCACACAGTATAGGCTCACCCACGACCTGGAGCGACAAGATGGGGCTCAAGGCAGAGCCGCAGCACTCTGTCTGAGGACTCTTCATTAACATCCTCATGGGCTGAATATGCCTGAGCTTTCCTACCACTGGACCTTTGTGCCCTAGTTGGGCCATATGCCTAAAATGCTCTTATTTATGGTTGTGGCTGCCCTGAGGGGAGCATCTAAGTCTCTCGGTACCAAGCCTTTGCCCAGGCTGGGGTTTCCCTTCCTTATCCCCTCCCATACTGGATTTCCTGAAGGTAAGACTTAAGCTGTCTCCTCCATAAGCCTTTGCTCCACTCATTTCTCCCCATTCATGGAGCTTCCTCAAGGAAGGTCGATTGGTCTATTGTCTGGAATAAGGAATTCCTGTCTCTCCAGCCATCCAAAGCCCCGATCCAGGAGAAATCCCTTCAAGAACAAGATATACTAGGTGCCCTTGTTTATTACTACCTTGGCATTAGGTACGAAAAAGAAAGACCACCTATAGATTCCACCAGCAAAATCTGAATCTGTCCTGCCCGCTTCACATCTTGAGTCTAGCCCTCACTCCATTATTGGCTGGTGCTACCCCTTTTTGGCTCCACTTGTCCCCAGATTCTGCCTCTCAGTTGGACAAAAAGAGGTTGGACTAGCAGGAGCTGGACTCCAAGAGCAGGCACATCATGACTAGACCCTCATTTGGAACACCTGCAAGAGATTACTCCCCGCTCCCAACCCCTACCCTCATTAGTTTGGGCTCTGCCCCTTTTCGGACCCTCCCCCAGTTTGAAACTTCAAGGGTGGACCCACCCCACTCATTGGTTGGATGACCTCTCAAGGCTCCACGACAAGCCATTGAAACCTTCTCAGCTAGACTCCTCCCTGTTTGCTATTTAGCTAGTCAACTCCTGGGTTGGTTGCTAAGAGATTAGATTCCAATTTACTCACTCTCAGGACATTTTCCTGCAGTTCCCACCTAAGCTCCACCCGTCAGCCATTAGATGCACTAACCTTAGGTCTTGCCCCCTCCTGTTCATTGGTTGGAATCATCAAAGTTGAACCCCACCCCTCCTCTGGCCCCACCTACCACCCCACCGGTTGGAGGGCCTGAAGTTGAGCCACACCCCCTCCTCAGTCCCACATCTCCACTTATTGGACACCCTGAACCTGAGACCCGCCTTCCAAAGCCCCGCCCACACGCTCACCGGTTGGACGACTTGCGGTTAGCGTCGAGCTCGCGCTTGCGCAGTAGGAAGCCCTCGTGCTGCACTGTGTGAGTGGGCGGTGGCGGAGGCGCGGGGGCGGAGCCGCCCTGGGCCGGGGCGGAGCGCGAGCGCCGGCTTCCCCCGCCCTCACCACCCTCTCTGGGCCGCGGCCGCCGTCGCGGCTTGGGCCGGTCCCGCGCCCGGGGCCGGTCCGGCCGAGGTGTCCGCTCGGGCGGCTCAAGCCCGTTGGGCAGGCGGCCAGGGGGAAGCTCGCGTGGCTGAGGCAGCGACGGCTGTGTGAAGGGAGGGGGAAGAGGGGTGCTGTCCATGGAGGGGGTGTGGGGGTCATCTGTTTGGGGGAGCTCATGGGTCTGGGGTCCCATCCGTCTGCAGGGCCATCTGTCTTGGAGGCGCGTATGGGAGGACCTCAGGGTTGGAGGCCCAATTCTTAGGGCCCCACGGGTCTTGGAAGTGGGGCCCTAAACTCATTGGTTTGGAATCCCTCTCGGTGGTGGGAAGAGGCGGCCAGATCTCCGGAGGTGGGGGTGCAAGCAGGGCGTGTCCCTGCTGTCTGCAGGAGGAATCTGGGGCTTCCTGCTGTGTGTGTGTGGCAATGAAGAAATTTGGGACCCCACTGGGCTGAAGAAATACGGAGTACAGGACAGATGTGGGAAGAGTCTGTGTGTGTGTGTGTGTGTGTGTGTGTGTGTGTGGAGGGGGAGTAGAGGTCTCTTAGGTAGGCGCCTCATCTTTCTAAGGGGGACATATTCAGGTTCTGGGGGCCCTGAGAGTCCATGCTATCTCCGCAGGGTCCAGTTAGGGGATGGGTCCAGCCAGGGATAGGCACTGGCTGTTTCTGAGATCCTACTTCCTGCTCTGAAAAAGGGGTTCCCATATCCCCACCCATCCAAGGCTCAACTTACCCCAGCAGGCAGCCCTGGGCCTGCCTCTTTCTCCTGCAGCTGTTCCACAATGTCAGCCAGGGTGGCCTTCCTGGGGGGTGGGGGACAAAGACCCAATGGAACCAGGGTTCCTTCTCTCACGGACCTGCCTGGGTGGGCAGAGGAGCCTCCACTCCTTAGCTGGAAATACCAGGCCCCTGCCCATTTCTGTAGCTGTTTCTCTGAGATGCTCACCTTCGGTACCACAGGTGTTTGGGACATGTCTGCAGAATGGAGAACCAAACCTCTCTCCCCATTAATTTTTTTTTTTTTTTTGAAACAGAGTCTTGCTCTGTTGCCGGAGTGCAGTGCTGTGCTGCACAGTCTCAGCTCACTGCAACCTCCACCTCCTGTGTTCAAGCGATTCTCCTGCCTCAGCCTCCCAAGTAGCTGACACTACAGGCATGCATCACCACACCGACTAATTTTTGTATTTTTAGTAGGGACAGGGTTTTGCTTTGTTGGCCAGGTTGGTCTCAAACATCTAACCTCAAGTGATCCACCTGCCTGGCCTCCCAAAGTGCTGAGATTACAGGCATGAGCCAACACCCCCGGCTGCCCCTTTGAATTTTAAGCAGCACAAAGAACAACTTGCAAATGTTGCCTTTCTCCACCTACCCCTGAGGCTCGAGTCCCCTGGATCGCTCCCATTCCAGCCCAGATAATTCGGGGTCATCACTGATGACAAGCCTGTTTTCCCCAATTGACTGTGAGTCTCTAAAGTCAGGGATGGGACTGATTCAGTCACCGCTCAACTCAGCACATGCCAGGCAGAGTGGGCACTTGGCAAATGTTTATGAAGTGCGGAATGTAAAAGGAGTCAAGAAGTCTTTGTCTCCTGCCGGGGGCAGTGGCTCAAGCCTGTAATCCCAGCACTTTGGGAGGCCGAGGCGGGTGGATCACGAGGTCAACAGATCAAGACCATCCTGGTCAACATGGTGAAACCCCGTCTCTACTAAAAATACAAAAAATTAGCTGGGCTTGGTGGCGTGTGCCTGTAATCCCAGCTACTCAGGAGGCTGAGGCAGGAGAATTGCCTGAACCCAGGAGGCGGAGGTTGCGGTGAGCCGAGATCGCACCATTGCACTCCAGCCTGGGTAACAAGAGTAAAACTCCGTCTCAAAAAAAAAAAAAAAAGCAGTCTTTGTCTCCTGACCAAAGGCCTGTCTCTGGAGACACACAGGGATGATTGGATGGGTTTGTGCAACACATGCTGGCCAAATGGATTCTGAAAGTCCTGGTTAGTTTAAGCTGAGTGACTTGCCCTCTTTGTTCCTCAGTTGCCCTAGCCACACAATGGAGAAGACAGCAGCTCCCACTTCATAAGGCTGCTAACAGAATTGTGATAAAGGGCCTCTTCTTCAATCAAGGACGTGAGGGTTCCATTAGCCCAGTGGACAAATTCAGGCACAGAGAGGACAAAAATCCTGCCTTGGGGCACCTGGGAGATTTGATGCAAGAGTCACAACCCAGGGGCCAAGAACCTGCGTCTGGAGGAAGGCACTCCGCCTTTTCTTTCAGCCTGAAGGGCTTCCCTTCCTGTGTAATAACGGATACATCGAGTCTCTTGCAGCCTCAGTTTACACCTCTGCAAAATGGGTACCGGGACGGTATCGCCTTCCTTGGGAAGTTCTGAGCCCTGAAGCCCCGTCAGTGGGCCTGTTAGGTTCTAGGAGCTCTCTGCCCGCCCCCTCACTTCCTGGTCACAGGCGGCGCCTCACCCCTTGACCAGGTCTCCTCTGATGGGCATCTCCTGTTCGCTGGACTCCTGCCGCTCCAAGCGCCGCTCACGCCGCTCGCGCCGTCGCTCCATCTGCTCGTAGCGGCCCAGGGTAAGGCTGTGTGCCGCCTCGTGCTCCGCTGACTCCTGCCGCTCCGGCCGCCGCCTCCGCGCAGCCTCCTCGGATTGATCAACCGACTCTTGCCTCTCGGGCCGCCGCCTCCTGGGCAGCTCCTCCGCGCGATCAGCTGACTCCTGGCGCTCCGGCCGTGGCCGGACCTGCTCCGCCACCACAGGGGCCACGGGGGGTCGCGGGGGTCTCCGCCGCGTCCTCTGGTGCGGCCGGTGGGACTGCGGGCTCCACCCTCCCCGGGATCTCCGGCAGCCGGTCAATGCGCGGCTGGAGGCGCTCAGGCTTGAGCTCCTGGCGCACGTACCCCACCCGGGTCCGCACCTCGGCCGACAGCGTGTCCGAGGCCCGGCGGGCCAGGGGCTCCAAGCCCCTTTCATAACCCCCTGGCCGCAGCAGGGGCGCCGCCTTGGCCGCCAGTTCCGTGGGGTCCCCAAAGAACTTGCGCCCCAGCAGCGGGGTGGGCGGCTGCTTGCTCTGTTCCGCCTTGATTTTCTCGATCTAGGGATGGAGGGACCGGGTCAGGTTGGAAACGTGGGGCCCGGGGTTAAGGGGGAGGTCCGGGGAGGCGGCCTGGGTTTTCTGCCTCACCACCCAAGGGATCAGTTCCTTGAAAAAGCAAGGTGCCCAGGCCTGTGCGATGCTCTGCTCTCTGCCTAGAACTTAAAGCCTGCTCTCCAGCAAACACCTACTGCTCTTCTACCAACTGGCTGGATCACTTCTTTTAACTTGGCTAAATCCATTTCTCTGCGCCTTTCTGACTCCCATTCTTCCTTCCTTAATGTCCCCCTACCAGGACTGTAAAACTTTTTTTTTTTTTAAAGTATGTTGCCAAGGCTGGTCTTGAACTCCTGGGTTCAAATGATCCTCCTGCCTAGGCCTCTCAAAGAGAGTACAGGTGTGAGCCACCCCACCCAGACTTTAAGCCTTTTTTTTTTTTTTTTTTTTTTTTTGAGATGTAGTCTCACTCTGTTGCCTAGGCTGGAGTGCAGTGGCTCTGTCGCCCAGGCTGCAGTGGCATGATCTTGGCTCACTGCAACCTCCACCTCCCAGGTTCAAGCGATTCTCCTGCCTCAGCCTCCTGAGTAGCTGGGATTACAGGAGCCCACCACCATGCCCAGCTAATTTTTTGGAATTTTTAGTAGAGATGGGGTTTCACTGTGTTTGCCAGGCTGGTCTCGAACTCCTGACCTCATGATCTGCCTGCCTCGGTCTCCTAAAGTGCTGGGATTACAGGTGTGAGCCACCGTGCCCCACCTAAGACTTTTTTTTTTGAGACAGTCTTGCTCTGTTGCCCAGGCTGCAGTGCCACTGGCAAGATCATAGCACACTGCAGCCTCAAGCTCCAGGTCTCAAGGCTCAAGTGATCTTCTAGCCTCAGCCACCCCTCTGAGTAGCTGGGACTACAGGCCCATGCCATCATGTCTGGCTGTTTTTTCTTTATTTGCTTTTGTTTTTGTAGAGACGGTTTCTCAGTATGTTGCCAAGGCTGGTCTTGAACTCCTGGGTTCAAGTGATCCTCCTGCCTAGGCCTCTCAAAGAGAGTACAGGTGTGAGCCACCCCACCCAGACTTTAAGCCTTTTTTTTTTTTTTTTTTTTTTTGAGATGGAGTCTCACTCTGTTGCCTAGGCTGGAGTGCAGTGGCACGATCTCGGCTCACTGCAACCTCTGCCTCCCAGGTTCAAGTGATTCTCCTGCCTCAGCCTCCCAAGTAGCTGGGATTACAGGCGTGCACCACCACGCCAAGCCAATTTTTGTATTTTTATTAGAGACGGGGTTTCACTATGTTGGCCAGGCTGGTCTCAAACTCCTGACCTCAAGTGATCTGCCCATCTTGGTCTCCCAAAGTGGTGGGATTACAGGCGTGAACCACCGCGCCTGGCCTGAGCCTTATTACTGCAGTCTCTTCACCTAATTCTTCAAGTCTCAGAATGGAATCCCCCAGGCCAGTTCCTCCTCCCTCTCCCCCATCCCAGGCACCAGCCCTCTGCTTATTCTTCCCCTATCACAACCCTGACACTCTGGGCTGTCACTGGTGACAGGTCTGTCCCTCTGCTCCACTGGGAGCCTAGCAAGGGTCTGTCTTGGCACTCAGACAACATAGGACTGACCACATGTCCAGGTGTGTCTGTGTCACATAGAGCCATGGGTGTGGGGGTCTTGGTGGGGGTCAGGGTAATGGGGCAGGATCTGGGGAGCTGACCGTGGTCAGGCGCCGCAGAGAGCTGAATCTCTCTTCCCAGGCTGCAGCCGCTTTTCGGAAGGCCTCGTGTCGCCGGATAAGCTGCTCCACCTCATCCACGCTGCTGCCCAGCTCCCGGCTCTGGAGAATTGGCTCCTGGGCTGTGAGCCAGGCATCAGCCACCACTGCCTCCTGGGCGAACTGGTGTACCTCCAGCACTGAGGAGGGGCATGCAGGGTCAGGATTGTGGAGCACCTGGGGCCCTTTCCGGGGCAATGGCTATTTCCCCTGGCATTCCACACCCCTCTGGCTTTCCATACCCCAGCACTGATCATCCTGGGGTCTGCAGGAATGGCAGAGGCTGGGGCTATTTCAGCGGGCATCATTCCTCCTTTCTGACTCCAGTCCTCCTTCCTTAATGTCCCCCCACCCAGGACTTTAAGACTTTTTCGGTGGGGGGAGATTCAATGGCAAGCCAGCCCCCCGTCCACCCTTCCAGGCCCTTATATTTGCTTCTGGAGACCCATAGATAGGGTGCAAGCATGCTCCTGTCACCCCTGGGCCTCACTGGACACGCTGGAGCATGTCCCTGTGCCCTTGAGCCACATGTGCCTGGCCCCCACTCACTCTGCTGCAGCCACTCCCAATGGCGGTCCCACTTTTCCGACACCTCCTCCTTCCTGGTTCCCAGCTTGTCCAGCTGTGCCTGGATCTGGGAGTGGCAGGTGGGTGGGAGGAAAGTCAGGGTGTGGAATGGCTTTCACCCCAATGTGCCCAGGTGGCAGGGGGAGCCCCCTCCCTGCTCCCCACCTCGTCAGCCATGGCACTTTTGTTGAGCAGCAGAGATCGCCCCAGCTCCTGACAGGCAGTCAGCTCAGGCACCCGCGCCTCCAGCTCAGTCTTCAGGCCCTGGTGGTAGTTGATGAGCACCTCCACTGATGACACATCCCTGCAGTGAGTGGCAGGCAGGGATCTGAGCCACGGGCAGCCTCCTCAGCCCGCCCACACATACAGCTCCTGGTGACCCCAAATCCTTGAGGCTGACATCCCACACCACCTTAAGACAACTATTTTTTTCTTTTTTTTGAGATAGATTCTCTGTGGCCCAAGCTGGAGTGTGGTGGGGTGATCTCGGCTCACCGCAACCTCCTCCTCCCGAGCTTAAGCGATTCTCCTGCCTCAGCCACTTGAGTAACTAGGATTACAGGTGCCCGCCACTACACCCAGCTACTTTCTGCTTTTTCAGTAGAGACAGGGTTTTGCCGTGTTGCCCAGTCTGGTGTCAAACTCCTGACCTCAGATGATCTACCCGTCTCGGCCTCCCGAAGTTCTGGGATTACAGGCGTGAGCCACCGCACCCGGCTGAGACACCTGCCTTCGATGACCAAGCTCTGAGGGCTCATAGTTCCACTAATTCAATGATTCAAACTTTCCAAGTTTCTAAATTTCACACCTCTTGTCTAACCTTCTAGGATTCCAAGATCCAAAACTTTCCTTTCTTTCTTTCTTTTTTTTTTTTTGAAATAGGGTCTCGCTCTATTGCCCAGGCTGTCACAGCTCACTGCAGCCTCAACCTCCTGGGCTCATGCAAGGATTCTTCTGCCTCAGCCTCCCAAGTAGCTGGGAGCACAGGTGCACCCATCATGCCCAGCTACCTGTTTATTTCTGCAGAGGCAGGGACTTGTTATGTTGCCCAGGCTGGTCTCAAACCCCTGGGCTGAAGCGATCCACCTGCCTCGCCTCTCAAGCTTGAGGTTGTGGGTGCAAGCCGCCACACCCAGCCAAGATCCACATTTTCTAACTTTTTCTAGCTATGCTTCTGAAGGTTCCGCTGGCCAATGATGTTAACTTCCCAAGTCTGTTCTCTCCAAAGCAGTAGCCACTAGACATGTGAGCACTTGAAATGCGGCCAGTCTGACTTTTGACGTGAAGTGTAAAATGCACACAAGATTTTGAGGAGTTTGTGTAAAAACTAATGTAAAATGTCTCATTAATAGTTGTTTTGTTTCTGAGATCGAGTTTTCCTCTTGTTGCTCAGGCTGGAGTGCAATGGCACGATCTCGGCTCACTGCAGCCTCGGCCTCCTGGGTTCAAGCAATTCTCCTGCCTCAGTCTCCCAAAATAGTTGGGATTATGGCGCCTGCCACCAAGACTGGCTAATTGTGTGTGTGTGTATTTTTAGTAGACATGGGTTTTTGCCACGTTGGCCAGGCTGGTCTCAAAGTCCTGGCCTCAGGTGATCTGCCTTCCTTGGCCTCCCGAAACGCCGAGATTACAGGTATGAGCCACTGCACCTGGCCACATTAATAATTTTAATATTGACTACATGTTGAGGTGATAATATTTTAGGCATGTCAGGTTAAATAAAAATGCATTACTAAAATTAATTTTCATTTGCTTTGTTAATATGGCCACAACAAAATTTTAAATGACATAAGTGGCTCACATTTGTGACTCACATTAAATAACTATTGGACAGCACCATTCTAAGCCATCATATGTCCAAAACAACTTCCAAGTTTCTGAAGGTTCCATCAATTGGCAATCGTAGCTTGATGCTATGGTTTGAATCTACCTCCTGTGCTCAAGCGATCCTGCTGCCTTAGCCTCCAGAGTAGCTGGGACTACAAGCAACGCACCACAAGGCCCAGCTAATTTTTATTTATTATTTATTTTAGACAGAGTCTTGCTCTGTCGCCCACCCTGGAGTGAAGTGGCATGATCATGGCTCACTGCAGCCTCAACCTCCTGGACTCAAGTGATCCTCCTTCCTCAGCCCTCCCAAGTAGCTGGGACAACAGGCGTGCACACCACCATGCTTCACTAGTTTTTTTCCTTTTTTGTAGAGACGGGGGTATCACTATGTTGTGTCGGCTCACTGCGCTCAACCAATCCTCTTGCCTCGGTCTCCCAGTGTCGGGATTATAGGCATGAGTCCCTCGCCTGGCTAGATTGGTCAAATGTTGACGGTTGTTCTAGCCAAGTGTTTTGTGATACGCATGTGGGTTACCTCTACTTCTGTGTATATTTAATTGTTCTTTTTTTTTTTTTTTTTGAGGAGCCTTGCTCTGTCACCCAGGCTGGGGTGCAGTGGCGCAATCTCGGCTCACTGCAACCTCTGCCTCTCAGGTTCAAGCAATTCTCCTGCCTCAGCCTCCCCAGTATCTGGGATTACAGGCGCCTGCCACCACACCCAGCTAATTTTTGCATTTTAGTAGAGATGGGGTTTTGCCATTGTTGGCCAGGCTGGTCTCAAACTAATGACCTCAGGTGATCCACCTGCCTCAGCCTTCCAAAGTGCTGGGATCACAGGTGTGAGCCACCACACCTGGCCTTTTTTTCTCAAATGTACATATCACACCACTCTCTGCTCTGAACTCTCCCATGGCTCTCACTGTCCTCATAGAGAAGGCATGCTCCTCACCATGTGTGGCTTCCACACAGCCCCAGTGTCCCTCTGACCTCACTTCCTCTCACCCTACACACCCTCCCTCCCTCCCTTCATCCGGCCACAGTGATCTCTAGCTCTTCCTCACGCATGCCTAACTACAGCCCACCTCTCGGCTCCTGCATCTGTGGGTCCCTCCACCTAGAAAACTCTTCCCCTCAAACTTTAGCTGCCTCACCCATCACTTCATTCAGGTCTCCAGTCAAATCGAACACACATCCTCAGAGAGACCTTGCCAGCTCTCATTCTTTTCCTATGTATATATATTTATTCTTTCTTTCTTTCTGCCTCCCCTCCCACCCTCCCGCCATTTTTTTTTTTTTTTTTTTTTTTGAGATGGAGGTTTTGCTCTTTACCCGGCTGGAGTGCAAGGCGCGATCTCGGCTCACCACAACCTCTGCCTCCTGGTTCAGGCAAACTCTCCTGCCTCAGCCTCCCGAGTACTGGACTACAGGCACACGCCACCATGCCCAACGGATTTTTGTATTTTTAGTAGAGACG